GTACACAACTCCATTCCACCAAGAAGTCCTCCAGGCTTAACCTGGACATCTGGTCTAAGCCGAGCCCATGAGAATCTTTGTCTGTGGCAAGAGGGTGCATTGAGAAGGAAATTAATTCTAAAAAGAAAGAGCGAGAGCAAGGGAGAACCCGTAGATGAGTCAAGGGATTGGGGGAGGGAAGTGGACTCTCTTAAGAATTTGAAACTAGGGGCTGAGCTGGCCAATGTCACGTGGTAGAAGATCACACAGAGTTGTGTTGAGTCAATGCTATGACTGCCCAGAATGAGGAAGTGAGAAAGAAGGCAAACGTGGTCAGATAGGGAGCTGAGATTCTCCCAGCAGTCAGCACAAGGGTTCAAGCCATCAAGGACAAGCAACTTTTACAGCTCAACTTTGACCCCAACTCTCACCTAGCAGAGGAGAAAATACACAACCCACAGAAGAATAACAGGCAGCCAGACCAGCATCCACAAGCCATTAGTCCTAAGGCAGTGGTGCCCCCAGTGCAAAGATCCAACTAGGCACCCCTCAATGGGAGCTGCCCTGGCCCCAGCAGCCCACTCAACCAAGAAGGCATACCTGGCCCCACATCAAAGCTGCTCCAGGGTTCAGCAGGGTAGCTGTCCCAGTCAGCACCAACAGGAAGCAGAGGATGGAAAAAGGGATGAAGACAGGCCCCACTTTCTCCTCCTCTCCCAGCAGAGACATCAACCACCACAGTTCCTGGGACTTGCTGTGGACCCAGCCCTGTTCCTCTACCATCAACGGAGACTCAACTGAGCTGCTCACACAACAGAGAATGACACACAGCAACATCAAAGGCAAGGGCCCAGGCAACTCACAGATAAAATAAGAGGGTGGGCAGTGGAGAGATTTGGCTCCCGGGCAGGGAAACTGGGGTGTGTGCACTTATGAGCGTATGGCCTCTCATCTCCCAACACGCTCTTCTTTGCCCTGCTTTGTGATCCTGTGTTACTTCTCCTTGTCAGATGGCTTGACAGTAGGCTTTGTCAATGGGGGGGGGGGGGGGACTCTGCAGGGACACTGTGAGGCCACAGCAGGAGCAAGAGGTCTTCCTGCCTTGTTCCAGGGCACTGTTCTCAGCAGCACACAGCCAGCAGGGCAGCAGCTGGCAGTGCCTACTGTGATGGCCTCATAGACCAGCTGTGCTCATAGCCTCCACTAAATTCCTTGACTACCTGGCACTCCCCCCGACCCGTCGATCAACTCATGCCTCCAGCAAGTGCTCTGATCACCCAGCAGGCCACTCCCATAGCTCAGCTCTGGCCCACTCCCTCCCAAAAGTTTCTCTGCCACCCCACAGGCTGCTCCCATGGGCAAAGCTCTGACTCAGGCCTCGACCACGTCCCCTTGCCACCAGCCTATCCCAGGGTAGCCCTGCCTGTTCCACCAAGGCCTGACTCTCAGCCTCACCGGCAGGAGGATCCCTGCTAAGTCCTTGCTTCTGTCCTGTTCACTGTCCCCCAGCCCTGAAGGAGTGCCTATTTTATATGTTTGCTCCCTCTATACCCTTAGAATCTTCTTTTATTCCTTTAAGGAGTTAACAACCTTTTACTAATTAATAATTCTTCATATTAAATTCTCCCTATTTAAATTACTGGTGTTAAGGAACCATGCTTTCACGGGTATCATTTTATAGGGGGAGTCATTTTTCTAGCTGTTGATATAATAATTATATTGTTGTTGATAATAGAAGGTATTAAATATATAAATAAATATGCAAGTCAGAAAAAAATGCAAAATATATATGTATCAGAACAATACCATATATGTAAGTGCTCTATACCTTTTTGTTTGTTTTTGAGACTGAGTCTTACTTTGTCACCCTTGGTAGAGTGCCATGGCATCATAGCTCCCAGCAACCTCAAACTCTTGGGCTCAAACGATTCTCCTGCCTCAGTCTCTCAAGTAGCTGGGACTACAGGCCCCTGCCACAATGCCCAGCTACGTTTTTTGGTTGCTTTGGGGTTTTTTTTTTTTTTTTTGCAGTTTTTGGCCGGGGCTGGGTTTGAACCTGCCACCTGCCGTATATGGAGCCAGCACCCTACTCCTTTGAGCCACAGGTGCCACCCCTGGCTAGATTTTTAGAAATGGAGACATGCTCTTGCTCAGGCTGGTATCAAACCCCTGAGCTCAAGTAATCCACCTGCCTCAGCCTCCCAGAGGTGCTAGGATTATAGGAACGAGCCACCACGGCTAGCCTTGTACCTACTTTATTATGATATGATTATTCATATTGAAAATCATAAATGTTAGCATAACAATTGTGACTACAAATTTGTGGTACAAATTCTTAAATGTGCATAAAATCTTCCCATAGAGTATCTGCAGTGAATTTTTATAATGCTACGTAAGTTATCATTAAACTACGATGGCTTATTGTTTTTAGTAAGAAATCTCAATACAAATACTACATATCTTATAAATAAATAACTGGTGTGACTGGCCCTTGGCTGGTATACAGGGTTAAGCCCTTGGAATTAAATCTGAATAGAGTAAGATGAAAAAGGAAAGCATTTCAGATCAAGAGAACATTGTAAATAAAGGCGAGTGTGCACGTGTGCTGCTGTGTGTGCTGCTGTATGTGTCTGGGGGGTGTTCTGCATGTGCACGTCGCTGTGTAGGTTGCTATGTGTATGCTGCTGTACGTGGGTATGTCTGCCTGTTGCTCTGTGTGTTTCAGTGTGCTGCTGTGTGTGCACGTTACTACGTGTGTGGGGGGGTGTGCTGTGTGTGTATACGTGTTGGTATGTGTGGGTGCGTATATTGCTGTGTGTGTGCGCATGCTGTGTGTGGGCATGTGCTACTGTATGTGAGTATGTCTGCTTATTGCTCTGTGTTTCTGTGTGTGCTGCTGTCTGTGTGCACATGTTGCTACATGTACGTTTGTGTGTGTGTGCTGTGTGTGCACATGTTGATACTTGTGGGTATGTGTGTATGCTGCTGTGTGTGCGTACATGTTGTGTGTGGGTATGTGCACATGCCGCGTGTGGGCACGTGTACCGTTGTGTGTGCGCGCAGGTGTTGTCAACAGTCCTTTTCTTTAAACCGGACTGACATCTGCATTTGTCTCTGCTGCTGGCAGCCCTCAGAAAGCATCAGCCTCACCCAATCAAGTTCTTACCCAAGAGACAGAGCCAGGGCTCTAGTGCCCCTCACCTGTGGTATGGCTTGAACTAGTCCCATGTAGGGTGTCTTGGTACAAACTGACAGTCTGTCACCTGTGAGGGCTGTAAACAATGCAGCCCTCTGCAGCCACACAAGCCCAGGAAGGCCAGTGTGCCCTAACTCACCCATTACCAGGCACATCAGCTCTTGAAGACAGAGACCATGTGTGTCCCCTGTAAGTTCTGTGTACCTCAGGGCAAGTCATACACATGCCATAAAGGTAGACTGATGAGGTCTGTGGGCCATATGTTCACAAAACCATAACCCATGAAGCT